GTGAGCCTGGGCCTTAAAGAGACAGAGACAGGCCCGCCGCCGCCGCCGCCCCCGCGCCCCCGCGCCCCCGCTTCCCCCCGCCCTTCCTCGGCTCCCGCCGCCGCCAGCTCCCGCCAGGAGGCGTCTCTCACTCCCCGCGCTCCTGTCAGCGCGCGACCCCGGCCCGCCCCCAGCCGACCCCGCCCTCGGCCGTGGCCCCGCCCCCGCACGAAGGCCCCGCCCCCTCCTGGCCCCGCGCGCGCTTTCTCTCCTCAGTCTCCCGCGCCCGGGTCTCCCAGGCCTTCTCCCGCCTGCCCCTGGCTCCCGCACACTCTTCTGTGGCCTTATCCTGCGCTGGTCCCGGAGCCGGGACCGTGACGCGCACGAGCTCCCCGGCTCCTGACTGCAACCCCGGGAGGGAGGTGTTCTTGGCCCGGTTATGGGGCTGCAAAACGGAGGCACCGAGTGCTCGGGGAGCCCAGCCCTTACCCAGCGCAGCTGACAGCAGCTGACAGCAGCTGACAGCTGAACCCCGTCCTTGGACGTCGGAGGCAGGATTTAATGAAAACGCAGGCTTCTGGGACCTGCCTCAGACCCGCTGAACGAAGCTCTCCAAGGGAAAACCCCCGTCCCGCTGGTCACTAAACGCTGCGCGCTCGGTGGGCGCCCGGCCCTACGCCCAGCGGCGGGAAAGGGAGGGGGCGCCGTGGGGCTGGCGCAGACGGTCACGGGCCGGGGAGAGGACCGACGGACGCACGCCCGGACTAGTGGCTGGAGAGGGCTGCCCGAGCATGTGAGGCCAGCACTCACTTCAGCCTGTATGTTGGGAAGATGCGCTCTTTCCACCGCCAGCAGGTAGATAAAGGCCGTTGAGAACGGCAGTTCTTCCCCACAACCCTGGGAATTTGCTTTTTAAGACGATTCCAGAGGGACGAAGTTGGAGCCCGCTGGGTGAGATGATCCACAAGGTACTTTCGCCTTGGAAATGGTGACCTAATGCCAAAGTCTTGAGCTAGAAAGAGCCTTAAATGCCTGTATTCCCCTTGGTTGACTGGAAAAAAAGAGGAAGAATGGAAAAGGCTGATTGGCTACGGGGGTAAACTGCATCATTGATGTTAGTCCGTTTTTGTAGAAGTAAATTAGGCTATATTTTTTAAATCATCCCTGAAAATTATCCTAAAGAAATAATTGAGTGTACACACATTGAACGAACTTATTCTTGGCATTACTTACTGATTAAACGAATTATAAAACACCAGTGCCATGGGCTAAATCAGCTATTAAAAAATTATACCGTAGGGCAGAGGTTCTCAAACTGTGTAGTCTCGGGACCCCTTTACCCTCTTGAAAATTAATGAGGGCTCCGAAGAGGTTTTGCTTATGTGTGCTACACTTAGCAAAACTTTTGAAATTAAAACTGAGAAATTAAGCAAATATTTAATATTTCATTTAAAAATAAGACTCCAAAAAATAAAAATAGACCTCATTACATAGTAACATGAATACATAGTTTATGAAAAATATATATTCCAAGACAAAAAAAAGAGTGGCATTGTTTTACATTTGTGTATTTAATGTCAGATAATAGAAAGCAGCTAGATTTTCGTATCTGCTTTCGCATTCAAACTGTTGCAATATCATGTATTATGTACTCTCTTAAAAAACCATACTGTGAGAGAATGAGAAGGCAAATAATGTATTGGGATTAAAATAAGAATAGTTTTGAGCTCAGGAACTACCTGAAAAGATCTTGGGACCTCCAGCATCTTCCAGGGCACATTCTGAGAACAAGCTTGTAGATATATACCATTGACATGGAAACATAATCATGGTATGTCAACATTTAAAGTGGTGTATATATTTTTAAATGGCTAATATTAAAAACTGTGTACAGTTATTTTTAAAGGCCTGGAAAGAGAACCATGGTGTGAGGAGTGCTTATCTCTTGGGGAGATTACAAATGGCTTTTGTTGTTTTTTCTTTCAGCTTGCCTGCATTTTCTGGTGTCTTTGCCTGTATTACTTTGGTAATAAGAAAAAAGATACAGCTATTTTTAATCCAAAGAACCTCTTTGATAGGCCTTAGGAGGTCCAGTGGCGGCTGAGCCCTGACGGCTGTCCAGTGGTTCTGGATCTGTGGCTGGCTATTTGGGAATTTGAGAACTGCAGGGGTTATTGTAGTGACCTTTTTATCTTACCAGAAGCCATTATCATCAATGCAATAAAGCCCCTTGATGAAAAGGTCAAATGCCACTGAGTCACCTAACCCTCAGTCAGATAAAGACATGTCAGCGATTGACTCTCACGCAAGCACAGTACAGATGCGACTCATTTTCTTTTGCAGCTAACAAATTGCTATAAATTTACTGCCCTAAAGCAACACAAGTGTATTACCTGGAAGTCAGAAGTCCTAAAACCAGGGTCAGTTAGAAGAGCTGTATTCCCTCTGGAGGTTCTAGGGGAGAAAGCACTTCCGGAAGCCACTGCCTTCCTCGTCCTGTCCCCCGTCCTCAGATGCACAGCCAGCAGCAAAGCCTTCAAACCCATATCCCCTCTCCTCCTCTGCACCTCGTCCCCGCCCCCCCCCACACACAGTGGCTCTTTGACCCTGACCCTCCTGCCTCCTCTTATAAGGACCCTTGTAGTGACACGGGGCCCACCCAGGTAATCCAGGATCACCTCCCATCGCGAGAGCCTTCATTTAATCACATCTCCCAGGCCCTTTCTCCATGTACGGTAACACCCACAGATGTTAGGGATTAGGATGCGGACATCTTTGTGGGCTGGGCGGTGGGTAAGAGAGCTTGGGGAGGGGGCACTATGTGCTCAGCATAGAAGGATAACAAGGACAACTGTATGTAGTTTGTGAGCACCTCACACCCGAGGACTCACTCCTGAAGGTGGTGAGTTATACACTCCTCACCTCCGGGCCTCCCCTTCCCCTAGCCAATGCACCCCAGGAGAGAGGGAGAAAAGGGGAGCCCAAGTCACTCCAGTTTGGTCTGGATTCTCCACTTCGGAGCTCCAGCCACTGGTCCCTTACAGGAGCCTGGGCTGAGCCCGGACCAGCCTGCAGGAGGCAGGCGGGAAGCTCGGGCCTGGCAGATGGGGCGCCGCTGTCTCCCATTCAGATCTGGGGACGAAGGTCCCTGGAGGAGAAACCTCCTTTCTCTGCTCTCTCACCTTCCTTCTTCCCTCCGGGCTGGGTCATGGGAATTACTGCAAACCATCAAAAGAATGCGGAAAGAATAACTTCCGCAGGCTTCCAGCGCTTCCTGCTCTAAGCAAAAAGAAATGGAGAAGACCTGGAGGATAGTTCTGTTTTGTTTGGCTTTATTTTGAGTTCTCAGGATCTCTGTAATTCCCTCCGCAGTGAACGATCGTTAATCCACCAGACAAAGGTAACACTCAGGCAGGCTTTTCTGAGGCTCAGAGCCCAGCAGACCTCTGGGAAGGCGGGCAGCCCCGCCTGTGGGGAGAAAGTGCTATTTCAGCAGAAGATGTTTGCACTGAGATATTTACAAATCCAGGGCTATTGAGATATTTACAAATCGTTCTCAAACGTTTCTAAGGCTTCTCAAAATCCAATATTGACTCACAGCTCACTGCTGCTGACCAAATTAAGTCCAAACTTTGTGACTTCTTTAAAATATTTAGTCCTTTCTTTTCATTTCAGCTTTTCCCTTTCTTCTGATCACAGAGAACTGAAAAACTACAGAACTTTATGAGAGCCCCTGGCCTTTTTAGCCCCTGGAGATTGCCCCTCGTTTCATGAACATTCTTTGTCTTTTTTAGTCACATATATTAACATATGTTTGAAAAAAATGAGATTATGCAAAGAACGCTTTACTGCAACTTGCCCTCTTCCCACTTGGCATGTCTAGAACATCTCTTCACACCAGTAGACATAGGTCTCTTTTTCATGTTACACAGATCCTCCCCAGAAAGCCAAGATGCTCTGTTTTCATGCTTCATACTTTCCACTCCTGTATTCTGCACATTTTTCTTTTTGCTTGAGACAGGATTTATTTATTTTGGGCTTCTTAAACCCTGTCCAATCTTTACTATTATTATTTCTTCTTTACTGGAGGTACTGGGGGTTGAACCCAGAACCTGGTGCGTGCTAAGCCTGCGCTCTACCACTGAGCTATACCCTCCCCCTCCCCCCGGTCCTCTCTTTACAGCCTATTCAAATATCAGGTATCACCTCACATGACAACACAGTGCCTTGCACACAGTAGGTGCCCAACCAATGCTCATCAAAGGAATTGATTAGATGAATGACTCGCCCAGCTTATGTCCCTGGCAGCCTCTGAGCTCCTAAAGCATTTATTTGCATGAACCTTTCACTATTCGTGTATATATATTTAACTAATTTCGGAGACTTCCTCAGGGCAGGAATCGTGTCATGAATGCATCGTTTGACTGTGTACAGGGACTTGGAGGCTCTTGGAAGTCTCTCAAAGACTAGAATGTGTGGGCTCAAGCTGAACTGGCCAAATGACAGCAGTAATGAAGAGGTGAAACAATTCGTGAAAAAGATAAGGCTGCGCAGAGCCTGGATACTTCGAGAGACTAAGAAAAGCAGAAATCAGTGGGCCTAAAATAATCGGAAGGGTTCCTGGAGGCTTGGGCTGACGGGGAGGTCAGATTGACAAAGCAGAGGAGAGGGAGACCCAGGGTGAGGCAGAGGGACAGAAGATGGCCGGCTGGAGGAGGAGGGTCCCAAC